TAGATTAATGTAATTATAACACGGTCGGAACGTCATAATTATTATTCGAATTTAGGTTCTTTACCATTCTTTCCCTCGAAAATGAATATGAGAGACATTATCCAGAGTAATTGGCTAAAATACTTTATATCTTGCAACGTTAAATGAGTGTAATTATGTAAAATATTATAATTTTTCTATATCAGGGAGGCGAGGATAAGGCGTAAATTCTGCCCCCTATAAGCCGTCTAAGTTATCTTAAAATAAAGATACAATGTCTTACATAAATAAAATGTTTGATTCATTTCTATTTCAGAAGAACAACAACATTGTGAGAAAAAGATTAAATCAAATTCTACTGATTGTAACATAAATGCTGTTCGTAAAGGAAACCTTGATTTAGAAAGCCCTACTATTAAATTAAAGCCTAAACTGAAAAGAGACACTCGACCAGTTATTAAAAAAGGGAAGCATCCTGCAAAAATTATGAAAAAGAAAATTTTGAAACAGAGTATAAATATACTTACGGAAAACACATCTGAGGCATCAATAAAATACAATTTTGAATGTAAGGACTGTAGAAAAAAGTTTTTAACAAAAGATATTCTCACCGATCACATATCATACAGTCAAAGGATGCAAAGGAACTCAGATGCAGTCCAGACACAAGTTGAACAAACTCCAGTACCACAACTAATGGATATATATAACTGTGATATTTGCGAATTTAAAACATCTCATAAACGTTGCATTTTAGCACATCTTACAGCGCACGTCGCTAAGCAAGTGTACTATTGTAATAATTGTGATTATAAATGTACAAATAAAGGAAATTTCCAAAGGCATATGAAAATACATACCGGAGAAAAACCTTTTACGTGTAATATATGTGAATATAAATCTATTACTAAAAGTGATTTGCAAAGACATATAAAAATACACACCGGTAAAAAACCCTTTTCGTGTAATATCTGTGAATTTAGATGCAGTACAAAGAGTTATTTGCAAACACATATAAAAATACACACTGGCGAAAAACCTTTTTCATGTAATATCTGTGGATATAAATCTGTTACAAAAAGTCATTTGAAAACACATATGAAAATACACACCGGTGAAAAATCTTTTTCGTGTAGTATCTGCGAATTTAGATGCATTAGAAAGAGTTATTTGCAAACACATATGAAAATACACACTGGTGAAAAACCTTTTTCGTGTAATATCTGTGAATATAGATGTATTACAAAAAGACTTTTGCTAACACATATGAAGAAACATACCGGTGAAAAACCTTTTTCGTGTAATATCTGTGAATATAAATCTATTACTAAAAGTGATTTGAAAAGACATATAAAAATACACACTGGTGAGAAACCTTTTTCGTGTAATATCTGTGAATATAGATGTATTACAAAAAGTCATTTGCTAACACATATGAAAATACACACTGGAGAAAAACCTTTTTCGTGTAACATCTGTGAATATAAATCTATTACTAAAAGTGATTTGCAAAGACATATAAAAATACACACGGGTGAAAAACCCTTTTCGTGTAATATCTGTGAATATAAATCTAGTAGAAAAAGGAATTTGCAAAAACATATGAAAACACACACAGGTAAAAAAACCTTTTTCGTGTAATATCTGTGAATTTAGATGCATTAGAAAGAGTTATTTGCAAACACATATGAAAATACACACTGGTGAAAAACCTTTTTCATGTGATATCTGTGAACATAGATTTATTGAAAAAAGTTAATTGCTAAGGTATGTAAATACACACCGGAGATAAACTATTTTCGTGTAATATACGTGGATATAGATGTATTAGTAAAAGTAATTTGATAGGACACATAAAAATACACACCGGAGAAAAACCTTTTTCGTGTAACATCTGTGAATATAAATGTATAAAAAAAGTGAAGACATTAAAAAGTTAAAAGCTAAGACATTTGAATATATACACTGGAGCAAAATATTCTTCGTGAGGTTTCTGGTAAAAAGCGGACTGGTAAGCGCGGTGCGTGGTGTTGAATGCCCAGGCGCAGGGAACTGCATTCTAACGGTATAGTTGTTTAGCGTGTTTCCAATGCACACTAGGTTAATGTAAATAATGATTTATTATTAAATATTATATTTGTATTCTAATATGTAACGGTGGAATTCATGTTATTTAGTAATTGCAAATAGTTAGATATAATTCTGTAAATATATAAAATAATTAATATAAATATATATAAGTGTGTAATATGTATATATACGTATAATATACAATAAGTAGGTATATACAAGACACGTAAAAATACATACCGGAGAAAAACCTTTTTCGTGTAATATCTGTTAATATAAATCTATTACAAAAAGTCAATTGCGAAGGCATTTGAATATACACACTGCAGCAAAATCTTCTTCGTGAAGTATCTGGTAAAATACGTATAATAGCTGTGTAAACCCACTTCGCTGGGTTAGTTTTTGTCGAATATTTATTTATGTATTGTATGTATATTTCATTAAATTAGTTATTTTTTTAAATTAAGAACACATGACTTTTCTTGTTAATTTTTAAGTATTTTTCTTACATATGTTTTATTCATTATACAAAAATATTTTACAGATAGTTATGTACTGAATTTCTATGTTACAATACATTCTTATGGACCACATTTACTGACTTGTGTTCTGGTGCAGACATTAATAAAAAAAATCGGTCAAACGCGCGAAAAGGTACATTAATTTGACTACGTGAAAAACCGGCCAAGAGCGTGTCGGGCCACGCTCAGTGTAGGGTTCCGTAGTTTCCCGTCCGTCACAATAAGTGTTCCCACTTATGAGTTTAAAGGTGGGTATCCATTATGTTCGCGCTCCAGCAGCGCTCCGCGCTCCTGCAACTGCTCCCGGTAGTGGGTACTATTGTTTCCATCCAAGTTCAAAATGATTTTCCTAGAAAGTCCTTATAAAGTTCTACTTTTCAGATTTTTTTCATATATTCTAAACTTATGGTTCAAAACTTAGAGGGGGGGGGGGGACACATTGTTTTTTACTTTTGGAGCGATTATTTCCGAAATTATTGACATTATCAAAAAATTATTTTAGTAAACCCCTATTCATTTTTAAATACCTTTCCAACAATATATCACACGTAAGGGTTGAAATTTAAAAAAAAAAAATCACTTCCCACTTTACATTTAGGGGAGCAACCCTAATAAAACATTTTTTTCCAATTTTTATTTTACCACTTTGTCGGCGTGATTAATACACATATTGGTACCAAATTTCAGCTTTCTAGTGCTAACGGTCACAGAGATTAAGCGAGGACGGACAGACGGACAGACAGACATGGCGAAACTATAATGGTTCCTAGTTGACTACGGAACCCTAAAAACGGGATTCTCCCAAATTCACTCCACTATATTGGAACATTTGACCTTATGCCTTATTGATAGTTATAAAGTAAGCCAATCGTAGAGTGAACTGTAACCATATAAAACATAATGGTAAATCATTTGAAATTAATTGAATTCGTGGTATAAAAACGGATTTTCCTTTTTCTTTGCCAGTTAGAATTACTGCCTCAATAATGTCGTTGAGAACATAATCTTGTACCGTTACATAATTTTGGCGAATTAAATTTTCATAATAATATGACTGGTGATCCAATTTTTAGCTTCAATACATTTAAAGGCGTACCAAGCGGATTCGGTAAATTTAAGAACTGTTGGGAAGTTCACACTTTCGTCTTGACTCATCATTGTGTCTATTGATTTATACAGTTTTTCATTTGGTGTCATATTCTGTATCCTTTCATTAATTTGATGCATCATTTTTGTATTTTGTAGCTAAAATTGTTCGCTCACACAACCATGTCCTATTTAAAATATTCTATTATACTTAATTATAATATTGCAAAAGTTTATCCGTCTATTGAATAATTTTGTTCAATAGATGGGTAAACTCATTCAGTCGTATCTGTCCGTGTCAGTCGGATGCGAACAAACTGTAATAATCATTTGATATATTTTTTCGTAACACTTATCACTCAAATATAAACCTTAACTTCTCGAAAACAAGATTGTATTCGGTATACGCAAGACTCGCTGCCGGATCCCGCCTCATTACCAGTGAGTTGTCTTATTCATACACCTGTGCCACTTCATTACGCATCCTACTTACGCATACAGTGTTATAGGGGCTACACACGATCACTTTTAACTGTCAGTTTTGACTAACCAGTTTTAACTAACAGTTAAAACTGACGTCCTTTGCACCCACACACGTTCAGTTTTAACTGTTCTCTTTGACCACAAACAACATTATCATCTCAAGATGTCATCAGCCGACGACGACGCTTTAGCCGTGCTTGGTTTATTAATGATTTTAAAAAATAAAAATAAAAAAAAATATACGCAAAGAGCGGTGTAAAGAGTGGTTAAAAAAAAGGAAAATTTATTCCCATGTTAATTTATTAACCGAACTAAAAATTATTTCGAAGGATTGGCACAACTATCTCAGAATGAGTTAAGAAATATACCTCAATCTACTATCTCTAGTGTCTCCACTGATTAGAAGAAAGGATACAGTTATGAGAAATGCTATTTCGCCACATGAGAGATTAACAGCAACGTTAAAATTTGTAGCAACAGGACGGAGCTATGAAGATTTAAAGTTTTCCACAATTATTTCACCTCAAGCCCTCAGCAGCATCATACCAGACACATGTGAGGCTTTATTCAAAGTACTTTGCCCAGATTTTTTAAGGGTAAGAAAACTTAGAACATTTAATAATTGCTTTTATTATTTATTATTAAGAAAATTATCAAGAGATGACTTAAAAAAAATTAAACTGAATGCGGTTTAGAGGCCTACGATTCATTTTGCATGTACTGAGATAAAAATGAAGCCGCAGTGTTTACTTCTTGTAAAGGTATAGACATTTCAGGGATTGAAATTTGTACTGCTCCTGTATTGTTGTCTAAAAGGTATGGCTGAAGTATGCTCTGTGATTCTGCAGTGTTAGAATTTATTTATTGTATTGTTGCTCGATCCGATATTTTGTGGTCAATAGTCAATTTATCTATTTCAGCTAAGAATAGAGCTTCGTTTATAATACCTTCCGCTAAAATGCGCTGTTCTTTAGGAAGATCACGCAACTTCATTGCCACGTTTTTCCCAAAAATATCGAAACGATCATCCCGCTGTACAGGATGTTTAAAATGATCCTGTACAGTTAATAAAACGTCATTGGTTAAAGTTTGATTGAGATTCCTTTTTGTCGGTCTCGGATGGTGAGGTGGTGCCGACGATGATGCTGAATTTCCTGTGTCAGATTCAGAGTGGTTTGAAGCCAAAGATGAACCTGGTCTAGAGTCTAGGTCTTCATTCTGTAACAATAATACATACACAATTAATAATATAATAATATATAATGTTTTATTTTCAGTTTCCCAATACGGAACAAGATTGGAAAAATATTGCTGAAAAGTTTGAGAAGAGATGGAACTTTCCACATTGCTTAGGAGCAATAGATGGAAAGCATGTTTCAATTGCTTTACCCCCTGGATGTGGATCAGAATTTTATAATTATAAAAACCGACATAGCATGCTTTTAATGGCTATTGTGGATGCTCAATACAAGTTCATTTTGTGTGATTTTGGCACAAATGGAAGAATTTCAGATGGTGGAGTATTACGAAACACTGTATTTTTCGAAAAACTTCAAGACAGTAAATTAAACATCCCAGCCGCCGAACTAGTCAAAAATAGCAACAGAAGTTGACCTTACGTATTTGTTGCTGATGATGCGTTTCCATTGAGAACAGACATGATTAAACCATTTAGACAAGCAGATCTTAATACTTATGACAAAAAATATACAATTATCGAGTATCAAGAGCAAGGAGAATTGTTGAGAATGCTTTTGGGATTTTAGCGTCTCGGTTCCGTATATTTCACACAGAAATAAACATCGAACCACAAAATATTGATTCCGTTGTAATGGCATGTTGTGCTCTACACAATTACTTAACTGAAACAAACCAAGCCAATTACAGTCCTCCTGAAATTCTTGATAGGGAATTTTTTGATAACGGAACAATTATACAGGGAGTGACTTCGGCAGATTCGGACATGATAGATTTAGATAGAAGACACCAAGGAAATATAACAAATGCAGCCAAGAAAACAAGGGAAGATTTTATGAACTATTTCGTGAATGAAGGACAAGTTCCATGGCAGGATAATTTTATTCGTTAATGTTTTTATAATAGTCTAATATCAATAAACTAAATTATAAATAGTATTTATTTACTCACGTCATTTGTTTCTTCGTCATCCTTGGAAATATTTGATCTTGAGGATCGTGGTACTTCTTGGACGGTGAGAAATTGTATTAAATCGTAATACCATAACTTTGGTATATAAATATCATCTTTGCCAGATCCTGATCTTTGTGACGATTTGACTTTCAAAACTTCTTTTTTGAACGTGCAACGCAGTGTGTTAATTTTACTTTTCACTGTATCTATAGTTGCCGTAGAGTCAATTTCTTTATTTTTTTCTAATAATATCTTGTAAGCTGCTGATTTCCTTTCTCGGTCATGGTACTCCTTACTTTTATTCTGCCATAAGCAAGGTTAATTCCTATATAATTCTATAAACTCGGCCAACCACAGTCTGCGTCATTTTTCTGCGTATGCGAAGAGAATAAACATGTACAGACCAGTTTCTTTTTCGTGATCGCAACACGACTGAAGAAACACCGCCTACACACGTACAGTTTTAGCTGATCACTTCCGTCATTTCAGTTAAAAAATATGTATCAACAATATATCATCAGTTTTAACTGATAATAAAAAAAACTGACAGTTTTCATCGTACACACACTCAGTTTTCACTGTCAGTTAAAACTGGTCAGTCAAAACTGACAGTTAAAAGTGATCGTGTGTAGCCCCTATTATCGAGATCACTTGCGCAGAGTAGTAACGAGCTTAGACTACACAGCCATGTATTGCTCACCAACAAAACGCTACGATAGTGATCCAGACCTACTCGAAATGGGAGTAACGCTTCGTAAGCGTAAATACGATGAGGATGTGTCGGATGCTTTTAGGGTATTCACAGAGTCCATATTATCCAAAATGGACACTATGAAAATTGAATTTGATGACAAAATATCGCAAATCAATGACAGCATAAACACCGTCGTGAAACAAGATATATCCAAACTCAATGATACCATTATGGGGAATGAAATCAGATATTAACTGCATTCAAGGATTACCGCAAGATAAACACAAATATTCAAGATTTACATAAAAAACAAGCTATTCTGGAAAAGGAGATGATATCTCTTAAGGAATCGACACAATTTACATCGGATGAGCGTGACACTATAAAAAAGTATACAGTACACAAACAAAAATGTTGAGGAAATGCGCCGTGAAATTATTGAATTGAAAACTGCAGCAGAAAACTGTGCTTAGAACAGATATCAACTACAAAAAACAAATGGAGCGTCTTGTGAATTTAGAAATAGTTGGTCTCCCTGAGGATAAATGCGAGAACCTAACGAATATAATCATAGCCTTGGGAAATCAATTTGGAGTCCCGTTGGAGCATAACGATATTATTCATGCAAACAGAGTAACACCAAAAACAAAACTCCAAGGCAGAGCCAGAGTTATAGTGGCAAAGTTAAGGTCAAGGTTGCTGAAAGACAATCTGATAGCCGCACCGCGTAAGCGCCGCGTTACCGCAACTGATATTAACCTAAAAGGCGCTTGTAGACCTATTTATATACATATTTATAAACGAACACCTGACTGCAATATAAACAACTTTTAAAGAAAACCAAAAAAACTGCTAAAAACGCGAATTCCTCTACACCTGGACAAAAAACGGATGAATTTTTGTTCGCAAAGCAAATACAGCCACGGAAGAGGATTTAAGGAAGATTGTGTGAAGATTAGCGTTTAAATAACATTTAGTGCCCTATTTTTAACTTTCATACCCAGTTTTTTTAAATTTAAATAACTTTTTTATATTCTTGTTATTTATAATCTTATGTTATTCAAGAATGTTATCACAACGACTCATTTACATTGTTATTGTTACCTCTATGAACTGTATTACTCTGTGTCATCTATTAATTACGAGCTCATGGCTAATGTACAAACCATTCGCGCAATTATTGTGCGTCGACTGAGGACGAGTATCGCGAGCTGGTTGATAAAAATATCATTATATATGAAAATTATTCGCGTACACGTAATACGATTAACATTTGCTTGCAGTATTATGGCTGATTATTATTATTGCAGAAATACTATTTGCAATAGCACATTAACTGTTTACAATTACTACGCGAAAATTTAGTTACTCGTATCTGAATTACTAAGTAATATTTTAGATAAAAAACTAAATTACCAAAACCCAAATAGAACATTAATAGAATACCATTATAACAAATCACAGAAACTCGCACCCTTTTTTAGTGATAAACCTTTATTCACTTCGATATATAATAAACTTAAACAACCGAGACCTCTTGCTCGCGCCGGCAACAATCTCGTTAAAGTATTATATTTACTTCCTTTTTTTATACAACTATAAAATAACATAATTCACAACCATATTCCATTCAGTAATAAATCCTATACCTTTAAACGAGCAATTCTTTTATATATATATATATATTAATTTATATTTCATCAGTATGTAATTTTAATCTCAATATAATTTCCAAAACACACGAATTAAAAAAAAAACGAGTGAAAAATACCGAGCAAAGCTCGGTCAACCGGGTACTATTCTAAAAATCACAAATATCCTGTATGGTACCAATGACGTATTATATATAGACACGTCATAAACGAACATCGCGGCGCTTATAAAACGGCGAAAATACTAGAACTACTTATACGCGTGAAGAAAGAGAAAGAAAATATGACACCGTACGGCGGGATGCCTGTTGCTGGAGGGAGACAAATAACATCTTCAGTTGCTCATTGGTCGAGCGCATGAGGGACGTAGCTATCAGAGGCATATGGGGAAAAAAGGACATTAAATTTTCTAGAGTTTATAAAATAGTTGATATACAGTGTAACGTATTACCTACTTTACGAATAAAGTAATAAAAATATTTATCTTTAAAATATGAATGCTGTATTCCGCAACAGTAATTAATTAATTATTGTTACATATTAAATTAAAAAATAAAACAAAATATCTTTATAAACATAAAAAAAACTTTTATTTAATAATGAAAAAACATTAACATTCTGGTAGGCAATCGAACAGTACGGTAATCGAAGTCGTATATTATCGACTTATGTTGCAGATACATATTTTTAAATCCCTTCAAACAAACTTAATTTATTTCTTTTTTGCCTCTTATAATTTGATTCAGAGCTTTTGTGTGCGAAATGTAGGCGAACATTGATAAATTTCTCAGTGACCGCGCGAATAAGGTGCACTCTATGATCGAATGTGGGATGTTGCTCTAAAGAATGTTGATGTAAAGAACCAAATACGTCATTGGATTTGATAAACGACTTTAAAATACGGTTTTTTAAAATTTGGATATCTTTGTGATCGGGAAGGATAATTCGTTCATTTCTGTAATGTGGTTGTTAATTATAGATTCTGACTTCAGACAGATTTGGAATACATCCTCACTCGGGAAACATAGTCCACCAATATTTTTTAAAATAATTTATGAAACCACAATTTGTTATTACAATACAGACTATCTGTGCATGTCGAACATTTCAATACTGAAATCAGTTTTCTGGATACCCATCCTGAAATATAACCGATAATCTGTTCAGTGGTTTTTTAATGCTTTCTTGATTTAACATTGTCGAAAACACTTCGACATTTGTGTTAATAGCATTTTCTACAGCAGTTGCATTTATTAACCCAATGTCATTCTCGATAAAGTCAATCTCCTCATCCATAGTTCTTCTACTTACTGTAGAATTAATGTTGTGAACTGCAGACGAACACGTTAATATAGTTATGTCTTCTAATGGCAGGCAGTTTCTTAAAAACGAAGATTTCATTTCCAGGTGTTGAAGGATTTTTTTGAAAATTCCCTTAAACAGGATAACGTTTGGATTATTGTTATAACCTCCATGTCGCCTGATAGCACCGAACAACATTTCAATGTGATCTTGAGACACCTGTAAGTTGCGATGTATCGCAAACGTTGTCCTTCGACTAAAAGTTGTGTATAGATGTTTTAAACTTTCTATACAAATGAGAAAGCCTAAAAAGCCTGTTTTATTTTTAGATTCAACAATTTTTTTCTTAATTATTTTTATGGTGATTCGTTTACTAACCTCGCGTCTATATTTAATAAAAAATGTAAAGATTCAATACATAAAGTTTCGCTTTTTCTAGAAAAGCTCTGATGTCATTGGCGTTTTTTTGAGAAAGTGGTTTTTTCATGCCGTACAAATCGGATGATTTAGAGTTAATATAATCAAATAAATTATTAAAAATTTCTGTAAAATCTACCGTCCCTTTAGTGTCCACGAAAAGGGAAGATGTTAAAATCTCGTCACACAATTTGAGAGCATTTGCAACACTCATGCTCATGATTTGTGTTTCCAATTTGACTTTCATCACTTCATTTCTAAAATAAATGTGACGAGGGGTGATTTTGTTAGCAAAATTAAGTTCAACATTTTTTTAAAGCTTAACTAAATATTCTAATAACCGCCAGCGAATCGTCCTTCCACTCCCGTCAAATAATTGTCTTTTAGATTCAAATGAATTTCTTACTAATTTAATCATGTGACAAGGGTCAAACATAATTGCAACATCTAAATCACATTCCGGGTGTCTGAATGTTGTTTTAAGTTGTGATGGTTGTTTAAGATTACAACTTAATAAATTAGCTGCATTTATATTAGATGCACGGCCGTCAAATGTTATGGCTACAATGTCTACTCCCACACGGTAGCATTCACTTAGACATGTTTCAGTAAATTTGCCCGAGTTTCAGCTGACAGTCCGTTAACAAGAAAATATGCTACTGGGATTTTCCAACTTTCGTTCATACATACTAATATAAAAACATATGCTTGAGTCGCTATTTCACACGATTTTGCTGATCCAGCACCAAAGTCCACGACACCTGCAGTCTTTTTTCTTGTCCACGTAGTTTGGTGACGAAGAGCCATCTCGTCTGCAATGCAAAAAAAAACGTGCACAATATTCGCTGGTCACTATGTTTATGTTTCTTTTCTAAAACATCTAACGCTTGTTTATTAAACCCAGGATCACCCGAGCTGTTTTCGTACCACTTTCCTATGACACGAGGATGCTACAGCGCAGCTACGGAATAATAGTGCAGGGTGACTGCAAATTTTCTTAACGCTGGGGTATATTTTTGACGATAGCCCTTAATCTTGCTCTTTTGAGTCAGTCTATTTATAAATTCTACTGTTTCGGCTTTAAGATTCAGTTCATTGATCTGGTCAACAGTAAAAAAAAATTTTTTTTGGAGCTCAGAAACTAATTGTTTTAAGTTATTGCATTTTTCTCTTAGCCTTTTACTTTTTTTACTAAATTATAATTCTTAAACTGTAACTTGCGTTTTTCTAAGGAAAGTTTACTAATCTTTTTCTTTAAAATAGCTTTCCTTGGCGTTTCAAAAATTGAACCTTCTTCTGACACGAACATGTTCCAAACTTCTTGGTGAAGAAATAATATTTTTTTCTTCGTGCTAAAAAAAAGTATAAAAAATCCGGTTATTTCATGAAAACCAATACATAATGTGTTTAAAAATGACGTATAATTTTACCATAATAATAGGAACTGCAGTCTTTTTTATTCTTCGATAATTTTTCTCCGTCACATATATATCGCTAGCTGAGAAATGCTTTGAGCAAACTTTAGTATAGGGCGTTGGTAGCCAATCGTTTTCACGTCTTTGAACCCTTATTATGTTAAGCCACTTTTATTTTAGTAGCCCACCTCTAGGCAATCTAAAACAAAAAGGAAAACGATAATTAATATTCATGACATAACAAGTACATATTATATTCAAACAATATTATAAATTCTATCAAAAAAAAAAACACTAGTGTGATAGTATCCCAACCTCCCCCTAACGGCACGTGACTACTAGCTGCATGCGCCGGCTGCCATTAGACGGCGTCGTCGAATAAAATGAAATGAAAATAGGTAGTTTTGTGAACTTACGCATGAAATGACACATTTTTGTCTTTAACTTTTGGGGTATAATTTGTACATCGTCTGAAAACACACGACGGCATGTTTTCTTTATGTTTTGCACAGGTTTACACACACGAATCACGATATAATAAATTAAAAACAAACGTAGCGTCGCGCGACAGGTTGGTGCGTGACTAAGCGCGATGTGGCCAATTGGCTTCATTTCATGTTGCCATTTTAGAGTGCGGACAACGTATCTATAAGTTTATACATCATTGTATGGTACAGTCCGGCCCTTATTAAAATCATCAAAGAAAAGCTTAAAGCACACAAGCGCTGGAAAAAAATCACAATAAGCTAGATTATGATGAATTTTGTTTATTACGCGACATACAAAAACGTGTGCAACGGTCGTGCTACGATACATACGTTGCTAATACTGAAAGTGCGCTAAAAAAGAGTCCCAAAATTTTCTGGTCATATTTGAAATCCTTGCGACGCGTGTCCAATTACCCTAGAAGATTAACGTATAAAGATATGTCATACAGATGAAAATTCTATCTGTAATGCCTTTAATGATTTTTTCCGTTGCGTATTCGGCACCCCATCTACTCGAGATCATCACAGTTCAGGAGAAAGTGCCTCTTTAAACTCTATATCTCAATTCACCATATCTGATAGTTTGGTGGAAAATCATCTAAACTCTTTAGACATTAATAAAGGTGCTGGTTGCGATGGGATCCCCCCAATATTCTGGGTCAAATGTGCAATAGTTCTCGCTGTGCCTATTGCATATATTTTCAATTCTTCTTTAAAGGAAGGTGTCTTTCCTGAAATATGGAAAAAGCTCTTATCGTACCCATTCATAAAAAAGGCTCTAAAACCCGAGTTGAAAATTATAGAGGTATCTCAATACACAATACAAAGCAAGGTTTTCGAATAAATTATCTATAGTATTATCTACCCCATAATAGCACAACAAATACCCGAGAAACAACACGGTTTCTTTAAAAAGCGAGCGACTGTCACTAACCTAGCTTGTTTCTCAGAATACGCGATTAGTAATATGGAAAATGTTGGGCAGGTGAACGTAATCTACACGGACTTTGAAAAGACGTTTGACCGGGTAGATCACTCCATACTCTTAAACAAACTAGGGAAATTTGACATACACGGGGATCTTCTAAGATGGATAAAATCTTACCTAACTAAACGTTCCCAGGCGGTTGTGGTGGGTGGATTCAGATCAGATTACACAGAAATACCCTCCGGTGTCCCCCAAAGTTCGCACTTTTGGGACCTCTTATCTACAATGCGTACATTTACGACTTGCCTAATTGTCTCATGCACTCTAAACATTTGTTGTACGCGGATGATAAAAAGATCTTTTTGAGAATAAATGACATCAATGACTGTTAACAGATACAGGCGGAACTTGACGTATTGTATAATTATTACATGACTAATAAGATAACAGTAAATGCCAAAAAATGCCAGTGCATAACTTTCACTCGCAAAGCGTACCCCATCTTACACACATAATTTTAATGGTGTACACATTGAAAGAGTCAATTTGGTTCGTGACCTGGGAGTTTACCTCGATGGCAAAATGTTGTTTACTGATCACATTGGCTTAGTCACAAAAAAGGCATATAAAAATCTGGGATTCGTCTTGCGGGCCTGCAAGGCATTTAAGGATGTAGGCTCATTGAAGGTTGTATACTGTACATATGTACGTAGTCTGCTAGAGTCCCCTTTGAGATTTGGTCCCCTCAATACAAGGTCTATAAAGAACGTCTCTAGCGCATACAAAAAATCTTTTTAAGACATCTCGTACCGGCGTCGTCGGTCGTACGAATCATATACCCGAGACTGTCACGAAAATAGTCTATTAACTTTGGAAGAAAGACGGGACTTACTGGATGTTTGCTTCCTATTTGATATTGTTCGGGACAGAGTAGACTGCTCAGATCTGTTGCATAAAGTAGCATTCTGCGCTCCTAGGCGTCGAACACGTCACAATCCGCTATTAAATGTGCCTCAACGTCGCACTAACTACGGATCTTTTAAGTTACAGTCATGGTTAGGTTACCCCGAACATACAATGCAAAGTTTAGCCAGGTTGACTTATTTGCTCATGTAAGTTAACTTTCAAAAAGAAGGTGACAGATATCATCAAAAACTCTTATTAATTTTAACCTCTATAAACCAAAGTTATACTATAAACTTTTCTTTTCTTTTTGTCTTTATTTGTGTCATTATATCTGTGTATGTCTATAGTGGGTGGTATTTATATATTACTTTCGGAAACATGTATACATATAGTTTGGAGTATTTACTTAATTATCTATAATATTGATAGGTTTAAGTGGATGGCATCCTTGAATTCCTTAGTATATTTATAGTTAACTTTAGCACTAACAAAGTTTTATTGTTACAGTGCCCTTTGTTAATTTAAGGGAAACCTGGTTATTGGCATTACTACATAAAACATAGTTATAAGATACATAATTTGTAAAGCTATTGGTTTTCTTAATAAAATAAAATAAAATAAAAATACATCAAGCCTGCAGTATATTGTTAATCAAAAATAAACCAAGCAAACTTATTCTATAAACAATAGAGGGACAAACGAGCGCACAGTCCGCCTGATTGTAAGTTGATAATGTGGTCCAGAAACATCTACATCTCTCCAAGATTAAGATTGGAAATAGAGATGGGATTTTTCAAGTTGTATAACCACGCTGTAACTTATGGATCAGTTCTAACGGGTCGTCTCGATCAGCGTAGTACCACGCTCTAACAAATTACCAGCGTAAAAAATCAGCTCAGTGTTGCCGTGTTTGAGTGTAGAGAACCGGAGAATTTTTTACTGGTAACAAGGCATTTTATTTTAGTCCTCAGGGATGACAACGCATCCACATTTTGGTTTTTAATCGAGGATAGATGTATTCTGAAAAAACTTCTCAGAAATAAGGGGAGGCCTAAAAGCCTGAGTCTCAGAAGTGGGACGTAGTAGGTTGTAACATTTTTTAACCCTCTGCTACTGACGTAACGTACGTCAGACACCGCAAAATTTATATGTCTGTCTCATTCCGTGCGATAATCTCCTGTCTCGCTCAGTACCTTCCTCTGAGAGCGTCACCTACGCGTTAGTGCGGCGACGGCAGCCGCAGTGTGCGCACGTGGCTAGTTGGAGCTATCAGGTGTCTACAGGACGTAAGGTCAGTAATAAGTGATGGATCTGTCATACGTATTATCAGTAAAATATTTATAATACCCTACTGTCTTACATACGTCACATCAGTAAAATATGTAGTTATGTTTAAAGTATCTGTCGTTCATCACCTTAGCAATATGTTTCTATATAATTTTAATGACCTATGTTTTTGTTTCTATCTATAAAGATGGCGAGTACCAGTAATTCGAGGAAGAGAAATCTTACAGGAAAATTACTTGAACAGTGGTTAGAAGAAGATAATGAGCACGAGTTTAGTGATGTTTACGACGAACTAGCTGACCAAAATTTTACAATTGAAGAAGAAGAACATGTTGAGAGTGAGATTTCAGAAGTCGAAGAAATAGAAATTGAAACTTCGAGTGAAGGGACAAATCGTTCTACTAATACGCCTGACTCAAACCGCAATTGTTATCGAGGTAAAAATGGTTTTGTTTGGTCAGTTACTGACCTTTTAAGGACATCGCGAACACTAGCTCGTAACATTGTGTCTTTACCTAGACAAAACCCTGATCATACGAGATTTCCCGGTTACGAAGCACTCTGGCTGAAGCTTTTTGATGACAATATGATAGAAACAATAGTTTCCTGTACAAATAAAAAACTTGAAGTTTACCGCCGCCAGTTCTCTAATTATTCGAAACACGAGCTGAGAGATACAAGTGCTGTAGAAATTCGATCTTTACTTGGATTATTATACTATTCCTCAGTATTTAAATGTAACGATGTTGATTCAAACTATTTGTTTGCGACTGATGCAACAGGTCATGAAATACTTAGATGTGTCTTGTCTAAATATAGATTCAACACACTTGAATTGCTTGAGGCTGGACAATATTGATGACCGACAGGAGCGCTTAGAAACTGACCCTCTTGCTGCTTTTTCTGGATTTTTTGATAAATTTATCGCAAATTGTCAAGCAAATTACACACCTGGTCCATACACCTGCATTGATGAAATGCTATTAGCCTTCAAAGGTCGCTGCAAATTTGTCATCTACATGCCAAAAAAGCCCGCTAAATATGGGATCAAGATAATGGACTTGAGCGACGCCCGGGAATCCTACGTATATAACGCGTACATTTACCACGGCAAGGGTTCTGATGGTATAGGTCTCCCGGAGGCTGAGAAAAAGCTTTCTGTTCCTACACAGTCTGTGTTGCGACTTATAAAACCCATTGAAAATACCAATCGTAATGCGACAGCGGACAATTGGTTCACCTCAATACCTCTGGCCGAAATGCTATTGAGAAAAGGACTGACATATTTGGGAACATTAAAAAAGAACAAACGAGAAATACCTCCAGAGTTTATGCCAAGTAAAAACAGAGCTGTTGAAAGTTCTCTTTATGGTTTTACAAAAGACCTCACTTTGTTGTCTTTTGTCCCAAAAAAAAGATAAAGCCGTCATACTAATTTCTAGCTGTCACCATAGTGCTAGTACGGACACAGAAACTAGAAAACCGACCATAATAGTCGATTATAATCACACAAAAGGCGGGGTCGACGAAATCGATAAAAAATGTGCGATATATTCCTGCAGTCGTAAAACGAGACGTTGGCCACAACTATATTTTATCGAGTACTACGTATTGCTGGCATCAATGCATATGTACTTTATGGTCAATGTGAAGGTGCGAAATTGTGAAGAGGAGATTTTCTTATGCATCTATCCAGAGAACTAGTATTACCCGCATTAAAACAGCGAGTTTATAATGAAAAACTCCCAAGAGAATTGCGATTGACTTTGAGACTTGCCCCCACCACCGTTTCCCGAGTCTTCTAATGAGCCTAGTAGTATATCATCACGAAAATTATGTCGCATCTGCCCAAGTAAATTGAAGCGACAAACAAGATTTGTTTGTTGTATATGTGCGAAACATATTTGTTTGCAGTGCTCCTCGCAAATTTGTGTTGACTGCAAGACTGAACTTTGAGACTGATTAAAAAAATACCACTGTAAGGATTTTTATAATTTAAGTCTTTTTTTGTTTTTTTGAAGCTTGAAGAAGGCAACGTTATGTTATTTCTTTTAATTTTATTCTTTTTCTTGATTGTCAAAGGAAAATTACAAATGTTCCTATAATTCATAAGGTTCCGGTAATAAATAACATTTTCTTAAAACAATGGTTTTATTGGTCTGTTTTTACAATGGCTCAAGAAATATAATGTAAACTTTGCTAAATTCAGTTTTATTTTCAATAACTAACAATAAAATTTGAAAAATCCTTACCTAAAGTATACGTCCGACAGGCTACTCCTCACTAGAATAATTACAAGAAAGGCACCTCAGTAGCAGATTTTTTTGTTCATTAAACTTCGGCGCCTGACAATTAACAAACTGCAGTCACAATTATTTTGTGTGCGACGAATGCTAATTTTTATTTCATTTTAACTATACATCATAAAATATTATTTTTATTTTACATATGAATGATAAATTTTAAAAACTTTATGTTATGTTTTGTTAGAGAAAATAAAGAGACAATAAACGCCACATACGATACATTCGTGTAGATGAATTTGTTTAAGGTTAGGCAAAGTTCTAATTAACTGGCATTTGTATTATTCACTAGCGACCGGCTCCGGCTTCGCATGGATTAGTTCTGGATTTCGACAACAGCGCCACCTACCGAATGTAATTCAACATCTAAGTCATCCAGGCACCCACTCAAATACACACAAAAGTTTCAACAATATCGGTCCAGCCATTTACGAATTTTTGCGAGACTAACGTACATTGATTTTTATATACAGAGATTGCAGTAAACATTCCCTACAATTTGCTTTGGAAAGCTCAATTTATAAAACTTAAAGTTCAAAAAGATGTTAACAGTTAGCGTTGATTCAACTTTAAAAGCAAATGAGAATCGAATGCTTTCATAATGCTTAGTAGTGAAGGACTTATTTTACAATTCGACGACGCTAATACTACGATAGACATCTACATCCATCCTCGGTTTAGAATCAAAATATAAATACGTTGTCACCCCTGAAGACCAACAGTAAATGCCTCGTTTTCAGTTAAAACGATCTCCGGTTTTCTACTCACCACAAGAAACGAAACAGCATCAAGCTGATATTTTACGTTGGTTTTTTTCGAGAGTGTGGTCCTACCGCGAGATGACCCACTTGTGCTGCAAGCATAATATAGCTGCAGCGTGGCTCTACCATGTATAAACGGCACTCGCCTTACATTTCACATAACAGGAGGACCCTAATTTCGTATCCCATTCTTCAGTTTCCACGTGACACCATTGCTGCATAGACGGCAAGCTATAAAAATAATGTCATGTGTAAATCAACAAATAAATCAACAATAAAGTGTTAATTTAGCACAGGTACCGCAGGCAGGTAAAGCGTTTGCCGGCTCCGTGGTGCAGTGGGTAAACAATGGATCGCGACGCTGGTGGCAGCGAGTTCAAATCCCGTACGGTACAAATATTTGTATGGCCTATAAATAATTGTAACAAAGATCTGGATGCTACTGTTTTTTTTTTTTAAATAAAAACGATGTCATTTTTGTAGTGACGGTAACTCCTACTCAACATCTTCCCTAAACTGAAACAGAAGAACAGCAGCATTTTTGCTAAAATAATATCAAAAGCTTCAATACTGCGGTTGCTGTACCGCCTGTTAGGTCTGGCAACTGTGGCACAAGCCGGAGGCAGTCTATAGGGAGGGCCTATGTTCACAGTTAACTTTAATAGACTGTAATAGACAGATGACAGATAATAGTTTAAATGTCAATTTCTATTTATTTGAAAATAATCAAAAGTAAAGGTATTTCATTTAATTAAGGGTTGTTTAAATTTCTTACGAACGTGAAATCTACACCGATAAGAAATAACATTAAGTTCTAAGGCTTTGAGTTTTTTTTTTAAATATTTTTTATTTAGATTAAATGCTTATTTTGTGATATATTTGCCACCGCTGATTTTTCTGGATTAATTACGACTTAGGTCTTTCAAGAACTTTCTTTTCCTTTTTAAATGATCGGCAACTCACCTGAAATTCCAGGTTAACCGCATGCTCGTTTGTAGTGTTGCCCAAAATCGGTCTTGGTCTTGCTCTTGCAATTTTGCAAGACCAAGAACAAGACCGCCTAATTTTAGCAAGACCAAGACCAAGACTGACCGTGCAAGATTTGAGCAAGAACAAGACTAAGTCTGCGAGACTCTTGCGTCTTGCAGTTAGGAATGAGTGTCGTTTCAGGGAGTATAGGAGTTCGGGTATACGCTTAGGGACTCTATGAGACGTAAAAAATATATTAAAAAAAATTGGAAAATTGGACTTATGCGCATTACGAACAATATCATAAACATACATAGCGGATGATAATATCCATTAAAAGAAACAGTGCATCCCTAGTTTTGACCATCGCCATTTTGATAGTGCGCGGCGTTTTGTTGTCGGCATCATCAAAGGTCGAATACTGACCTGTCAAACTCATTTTGCAGCTATTCGGAAGTACAAGGTCAAGATACTCGCCGGCGGCTTCTATTGATATCGCATTCAATCGTCGCCACCGCGCCGCACGCACTACATTTGACACTTTTTGAATGCCGCCACAGAGTACATGTTCCAAAGAATAAAATAAGTTTACATTATGCTGATCTCGCAAGGAATATTGTAATTAGATAATGGTAAGGATAGGTAGATACCATAATAATTTATTCTAGTAAGTAATTATTATAATATTAACTACATGGGTTTATAATAATTACTTACTATTATTATTATTATTATTACCTAATAGATAAACATGTTCAATACACTGCAAATATCGATTTTCGGAAGTGTGTGTTTTTGAACACAAAGTGTTCGAATATGTCGTCACCCATTTGATAAATATTGTGGACACTTTTAACACACTTGAAACGTGTAAATATTTCGTACAATGCTAATCGAATAATATAAAAAGTGTGCATATTAAATAAAAAGCGTAAAATAAGATCTATGTACTTTTTAGGAGCCCGGGTAGGTATCTCTTAGAGAACCGTTTAAAGAAATTGATTGCATCGAATTGATGTAAATAATAGTGATTTGCACAATTTTAATAGTAGAAATAAAAATAAAATCACAATACCTGCTTTCCGGTTACACAAAGTATATAATGCGTTCTTGGGTAGCGATATACGCTTTTATAATAAGATTCCAAAAGAAATGTTAGATATTTCACCTTTTCAAATTAAGTCAGAAAAAATGCTTGGAACTGACCTCTCGTACTACACAGGACTAACTAGAAATTTCTAAACCGATTTGGTATCTACATATACATTTGACATTTTATGTTTGACTTATCACTTTACATAATTATAGAACTATTGTAAAAATATTTTGAAAAGAGCAACTACTGAGTTTTTTACTTTCTTCCATGATTCTTCTCAGTAGAATCAGAACCCCTGGACATGGAAAAGAAAAAATTGGGGAAGACAGTGATTATAATATGACTATTCAAAAGTGTATTTTTAATGCCTACTTGCATAAAACATATTTGAATATACCTATCGACCAAATTGGCGATATTTTGAAAAGGGGCTACGTTAGAAGTACCCTTAACCGACAAGCATGTATGCGTAGATATATGGATGTAAAGGAGGCGAAAGAGGTATGTCAGGATCGTGCCAAATGGAAGTCCATAGTCTCTGCCTACCCCTCTGAGTGACGGGCGTGAGTGTTTATGTTATTATGAATTTTGAATTTCAAACGAGTGAAGGCAAATTTAATTTAATTAACGTAGATTAATTCAATCACAAGAAGAACATAATATACACAATTTTATTTAAGTACATATTTACATTTCATTTTTACGTAGGCACACTATACCTATCTGGCAA